GCTCTTTCATTTAAACTGTTATTATTAAAATTGCATTATGATAAAGGTAAGTTAAATAACACCAGCAAAAGTTGCACTTACCAAAACCAAAAAAGAGAGAGCTAATGTTGATGATCCATTGAGAGTGTGGGACATTAATGGTAAACTTGATAAGTTAAGTAGTAATTTGTTTGTTTATTTGTATGAAAGATATTAAATAGCGAAGTAGATCATTTTCATTTTAGATAATAACTTAGAGAGAGAGTTTATGTCCATGTGTTGTCTATTTGTACAAATAAAACATATGGCTGTTCTCTTCTTATATTTGATTATTGTTTTTTGTTTTAAAAATATATGCATCAGTTGCAATCATTGTAACTTGAATTGCTATTTTTCTTTTCCACGTGTGTTAGACAGGAATCATGTCTGAAATTGTTATCTTTGGCATGATAAATTTCAATGAAATGCAGTTTGGCGTCATTGACCATAGTATTTATTCATCATGTAGGTTAGGCCATATGATAACCTTAAAGATGTAGCTCTGAAAATTTTGCAAAATGGGGTGGCTACAGTTCCTGTTATCCATTCATCTTCGGAGGATGGCTCCTTTCCCCAGCTATTGCATCTTGCTTCACTCTCTGGAGTACTCAAATGTAAGCCTTTGAGATAGTCTTTCAAGCAGTATTAACTCTTTTTTTTTTTTTTTTAAATTATTTTTGGCTCCTAGGAAATACATGCTTCCCCCTAACCAATGGATCTTGATTTTTAGGTCTGTGCAGGTATTTCAAACACTCTTCTGGCTCATTGCGTATACTACAGCTGCCAATTTGTGCAATTCCTATTGGCACATGGGTTCCCAGCATCGGAGAACTTAACAATCACCGGCCATTAGCAATGTTGAGGCACAGTGCTACTCTCAGTTCAGCATTAAATTTGTTAGTTGAAGGTATGCTTCTTGTTTCCTTTATAAGTCTATAAAGTTGAAAAAGATTACAGATTTTAGGGGAGAGTCTACAAAGTACATTGTATCCAGAACTTTAGTTCATCTATTTTATATGAATTATTATTTTTCATTAGACCTCTTTATCTTGGAATTATGTAGACTTAAGAGATTATTGTGCCTGAACATATATCAGGGATACCTTCTTTGCAATTCTTATGTATGGTTTTGCTCTTTGCCTTTGCAGCTGAAGTAAGTTCAGTACCTATAGTAGATGATAATGACTCATTACTGGATATTTATTGTCGGAGGTAATGTGTCTTTCTGGAAGGATTATCTTCCAGGCTTCCAGCCCTCACCAAGTGATGTGCAATCCTCATATGTTTTTGTGATTTTGAGTAATATTTAGTAATAGCTACTCTTGGTCTTTTCGGCAGTGATATAACAGCTTTGGCAAAAGACAGGGCTTACACACACATCAATCTTAGTCAAATGACCATTCAAGAGGTAAGTACTCTGACAAAGCCTATTCCAAGTTCCAGCTAGTATATACACTTATTATTATAGGGTCAGTTTGATTTAAGGTGAAGCATTTTTCTGAGAGTGTACTATAAAGTGGAATTATAAATGTCATTTTGCGTGGAAAGTGTGAACTTACCCTCTTGCCCCTTGTGTATTCTTCATTAGGCATTGCAGCTGGGACAAGATTCACACTCGTCTTATGAGATGCGGAGTCAAAGATGTCAAATGTGTTTGCGCACTGATTCACTGCTTAAAGTGATAGAGCGATTAGCAAATCCAGGTTTCTTTTTCTGCTATATTATGTTTTAATTAGTCTCTGACATTCACATTCTATCTTTTAAGGTTAATGTTTATTTTTTGATGAGCCACTTTTAAGGTTAATGTTATCTACCTTTTGATGGAAAAATAAAAAAAAGGTTAATATTATCAACTAAGAGCGATGGTTTTGTAGTAATTGCTATTTTTCTCTTGTGCAACAAGTTGGAATGCTGAGTTTTCTGTTCCTCCATTTAGTTGTCAATCATCATTCCTTGTCTAGCGTGGAGAGTCAGCATTTCAGTAATTCTACTTTTACCCTTCATGTGGATTTCCAACATCTTGTTCTTGGCTCAGCATGAAGATTTCGCCTTCATGTAGGATTCACATAAATAAAAGAATGTTGCATCTGGTGTATTCTGTTCATCATCCTTTTAACTCTGCAATTCTTCAATTGGATTTTAATTTTCCTTGCATAAGTTTGTAGTTCACCTTAAATCTGATTTGTTTCATATTTTGATATTTGAATGGGTCGTTATGAAAACATCCAAACGAGTATAAATACCCTCAACTTGATTTCTCAGGTGTTCGACGTCTTGTTGTTGTGGAAGCTGGAAGTAAGCGGGTAGAAGGCATCATTACACTCAGTGACATCTTCAGATTCTTTCTTGGTTAATCCAAAGTAGTCCCAGAAGATCAATCTAGAAGGGGTTTGTGCCATGAACATTGGACTCCTATTTTGTTCTAGGTACCATCTCCTGCTCCATGGTCCGAAGGAGACTAGAGTGCTTGACACATTGATCTGTTCTGATCTCATTTCTTTGAAATACACCATTGGATTAGCCTCTTGTTTTGTCGCCTTCTTTTTTAGAATTTTAGGCCTAAGAAAGAGGCGTGTAATTTAAGATGATATATGGGATTTAATTCTCATCCAAATTTGTTATCTTCCCCACCTTCCCCGTTCAACACATTCTACCACCAATTGTAGATGCCATCTTCTCTGAGAGGAACAGAACACTTATGACCTCTACATAGTTCATTGATGCTGTCTAGTTATGAAGGAAAAAAGAGATGGGGAGGAGAAATTTAACAATTACTTATTCTGTACCATACTCCCTCTATGTAGCTACTTTTGCATGTTGCTTCTTTTTTCAATTTCTTTTGCATTTCCTACCAATTATTTTAGAAGACCTAGACTTTATTCGACATTAACCCATGTTTAAATTAAATAAAAAGTGTGGTACAATTTGAACTGAATAAGATTGTACAACTTTATTAGTTGAGGTTGACTCCCTAAAACCCCAATATTGAACCTTTTTTATCATATTTAATAATTTTTATCTTACAGTGTAATTTGAATATTAAAATATGAAATTCTCCTTCAAATTTCAAGCACAATTGAAAGTGAAAAACACTAGGCTTCATTTCTCTCAGGTTTTCCTTTCAATTTTTTAAAAGAATTAAATAACTAAAGGAATTAATTAGATGGAAATTCAAAGACACGAAAATGATTAAAAAAAACAAAAAAAACAAAAAACAATGTGAGAGTTTGGTAAAGTGTGAATGTGTGACTATGATACCGACTACTAAAACGACAGCGTTTACTTAAATGTTGATACATGATACCATAGAATATAGACGGTGGGTTAGAACAAGACGTTGGGGTTTTCGGAGAGAAAAAATGGCGAGGGAAATGGAGGAATTGAGTGAAGAAGAAAGGAGGGCACTGCGAGGAAGCAAATTCGCTCCTTTGCCGTCTCTGCCGCGGCCGGCCCGTTCCCAACCCAGGTAATCTTCTGTTGTTATTATTGTAAGGTTTCTGTATCGAGCTTGTTAGGTCAAATTTTCAATTGAATTTTTTGTTTTTGAATCGTAAACATGTATATAGGTTGGCTCATCCAGGTGGGCCTTTGACCACCAACAAAGCGGCGGCGCTCGCCAAGTTCCTCGAACGGAAACTTCAAGACCCCAATGGCTTGTCCACCATTAATCCCGATCTTCTGGAATTAGCAGTCCAAAATGCCAAAGCCACCGTCACTGCAAGTATTTCCTATATAAATTTTTTGTGTTTTATATTGGTTTTTTCAATCTTGAGATTTGGATATCTGATTTTTTTTTTTAGTTTCCTAATGGTGATGGGTTTTTTTTTTTTTTTTTTTAGTTGAATGGACAGTAATCAAAGTACTCCCAAATTTATAAGACACATGGTTGAATCATACTCTAATTTAATAATTTGGTGTTTTCCCCGTTTAGTCTGATTTAAATACGAAATACGCTTCAAGATTATGACTTTGTTATTATGTTAACAAGAGAAAAAATTTTATAGCATTGCTTTTTTGGATGCTAGTCCAAACTTAATTTAAGTTGATCAGTCCTTTGGTTGAATTGTGGCTTATGTAGGTTACTACTTCGAATAGAGCAATTTAAGAGAAGCTTATTGTATGTCATTTTGAAACACTGACTTAAAATTTGGGGGTTTATGTTTGGTATGGGCATCGGCTTATTGTAAGTTACAATCATTAGGTGTCTGATTGTCAGCCTATCTTTACTAATGAAATGATCCCTATACGAGCCCGTGTGAATAAATAATTGATGCCCTCTTATGCCTTTGGACTATGGTCCTTCAAAAGTTTGATGTTTATTGATGGTTTGTTACTTCAATTGCTTTCTAAGAGTCTATCCGCTGTTTCAATGATCTCTGTGGATTCATCCTTTGCTGATGGTTTGCCTAAGATGAGATTTTAATTTTGTTTATCTTTTGAGGGAGCATGTGCTTGAAATCATCTTTCTTGGTTGATTAGGGAATTTTCACTTGATTTGTTCACTGTTTGTGGTATTTGTTTGATCCACTATATGGTGTATGTTGAATGGTCATTTAACATGTCACTTCATTAGTTTAAGTTGTTTTGGCCCTTTGTGCCTACTTAACATGATTTAGCTTGTAATAAAGAACTCATCAACTGGAATTATTTCCGATTTTCTTCTTTTTATTTATTTTTTAACAGGTGCTGCTTCAGATTCAGGAAGAACAGTTCGGCATGTAGACTCTTTTCCTGATTCTGAGGTGCCTCGACTCTGCCATTCTGTGATTGATACAGCTGTGCTATTGAGATGTTTTTGTGTCTTACATTTTATCTGATTACCATTTCCAGGATTCCTTGGGAGAAGATAAAGTAGAATTTTCCAAACCAAAAAAACACAAGAAGAAGAAGAAGAAGAAAAACAAAAAACAAAAGGTTGTCTTTCGTCAGTGTCGTATTCTCTTATATTTCTGCATTTCAACTCTGGACTTACATGATGATAGTTTTTGCTACCGCAGGTAGTCGTGGATCATGACTCTACAACATTAAACAGGCCTAAGAAGAAGGTCAAGTTGTGATTCAGGTTAATTCCTACACTCCAGGTATCATGAAAAGAAATTGTTGCAGCCTTTGGAGCCCAGACGTCGCTAAAACATAAGACGAGGATAGAATCACCAAAAACGCAACTGGTGAAATAGTATCAGTTTTTAGACCACTGATTTCGAAAGGATGTTGTTAGGATAATTTGTTCTCGGTACAAATAAGTAGTTATTTATTACAAGTTCTGCGGATGGACAGTGGTTATTTTTCTTGGCAAATATTAGTTGTGAGTGAAATTTAACAGGGACTGGTCGTGACTCACAAGGATCTCTTGTAATCGAACATCATTTTATCAAGAACAACATTCTGTTTCAGTCTGTGCTCTTTTGTGAAGTT